ATATAGTTTAGTTTTTTGTTTATAGATTTGCTTATATAGTTAAACAACGGTTTGTTTATATCTTATATAGTTTCAATTTTATTTTTAAGGAAAATCATCGCAATTGACATTTTTTACCAGCAAAAAAAGATTTTGGTGTCAATATTTCGAAAGTTACCGAAACGCAAATGCGTTACTTAGGATAAGGAGGGCAGAGTAGAGCAAATACTTTATACAAAAGGTTATAATACTGCTTCTTCCTACTTGGATGATCAAAATCCACGGTAGTGATCTGTTTAGTCCTCTCAGGCAGTTTTTTCTATGATGTTTTATAATAAATATTGTGATCATGAATGTGAACAAATCTTATCTGGCATGCTCTAAGGGCACAAGGAGTACCAGAGTACTATATAAATCTGATAAAAGATATGTATCCTAATGTTACAACCCTACAGTGTGATGTGGGAGTGGGAGTTCATCCAGACTCGGCACTGAGCCCTTTGCTTTTCAATCTCGTAATGAACCACCTCACGGCAGAACTACGCCTTCCACCATTGAACATTCTACATAGGGCGCACTATACGTTTCCGAAACTGGCCACTTACATAAACAATATTTAAAAAGTAATTACAACATTTGAAAATGGAACTCTTTGGCTGTAGAATACAGTTTGTTCCATCTGACTGTCACTTGTTTTTACATTGTGGCGTCATTTTATAAATTGGTTGTCTATATCACCACGGATTTAACTCGTGAAAATTTTCGTAGTATGATTTTCTACGACTTTCAGTGTAATATAACAGGTCAGCGGAGTTTAGGCTTCAAACTGCTTTTGGCGATGAAGTACCGTGCAAGACGGCTATTTATAGCTAGTTTGCAAAATTCAAACGCGGTCGTGTGAATCTCAGTGACAAATTTCGTGATGGTCGTCTGTCCACTGCTGTGAACAACAAAAACATCGATGCTGTGCGCCGTATGGTCCAAACAGACAGGCATCTCATGACATACCATGAGATTCGGGCATCTTTAGGCATAGGCATGAGTCAAATACAATCAATACTACACAAACATTTACGATTTACGATCCCAAAACACAGCAGCAATCGAGCGTATGGGTCTTTTAAAATGAGCCGAAACCAACCAAAGTGGCGCGCGTGCAAAGTGCCTCTAAGCGGATGATTGCTTCTTTTTTTAATAAAACTGGACACGTAGCTACTGTTGCTATAAAGAATCGTTGTACCGTGAATAGTGATTGGTACACGACCATTTGTTTGCCGGAAGTTATTGACAAACTCCGTAAAAATAACCGTAAACGCCGTATCATCTTGCACCATGATAATGCCAGTTCTCACACGACCAGATAGACAAATGAATTTTCGAAGGTGAACAACGTTGAGCTTATGAGCCATTCCGCGTACAGTCCCGACCTGGCACCTTGTGACTTTTATTTATTTCCAAAAATTAAGAACGCGGTCCACGATTTTTATCACCTGAAGAGGCTGTCGAAGAGTATGAAAAATATGTTTCAGAGATTGTCACGGAGGAGTGGCATAAATGTTTTCAAAATTGGTTCATTCGTATGAAAAAGTGCATTAACGCTAACGGAGAATATTTTGAGAAACAGTAAATTAATTTCTGATCATTTATAGTATTGTTTTCTTATTCATTCCGGAAACTTATAGTGTGCCCCACGTCGATGCGCATGGGTTCGTTACTTGCCGCTACTACTACTTTTTAGTTAAATCATGTCGACGTATGCGAAGACGTGCGACATGCAAAATATGGTCAGGAGAATGGATTACTATCATCTTCGGCGTGTTCACTTCCGTTGGCTAAGGATATAGAACTAATATGTAGAAACTAGTACTGTTCAACAACAGTAGTGACTGATACGTACATAACGCCGATGGCTAAATTCGTAGTCGGTTGGAAGTTATAAATATTGCCTGATTTCTCCATCGAAGTATTTTTCTATTAATATGTTTTGTTTGTGCTTCTACTCATATCGTTTGTTATTGTACAATCGCTAACGTCACCATTCGGCGTTATCCCTGTTTTGGGTGGTATCGCTCGCTAATTAACTCCTTAACTACCGGAAGCAGAGTTACCAACAAAATATATTGACGCAAGCTTGTTGTTAGTACATCTTTAAGGAATTGACGTTAATGGCAGATAAGTGATAAGACGGACGTGTAACGGGCTACTGGTGTTTCGTCACATCCGATGATAAAAAATCAATTTGTGTCAAGTCACTATTTAACCTTTGCTATCATAGCGTTGGTATCTGTTTTGTTATGCATTGAACAAATTATTTTGGTGTCTTTTCAATCGTCAGTTTGGTTTTAACTTTGCAACTACCATCTTCGTACAGTCTTGCTTTATTCGTAATCTTCGTCTTAGGCTGAGGATTTATAAAACAAACTTTGGCTTCGAATTCTAAAAATCGGCAAAAATGCCGATTTTTATGTTAGCAAAACAAACTTCGCCTAAATTTAAGCAAAAAAAATTTGTAAATAATCTCAAACTTAAATGAAATTTCTTGCTTAACTTAGGTGAAAGTAGTTAAGTTACAGCAAATCGATGCCTGTCGTCTTTGCTTGCAAATGTAAGGCTTAGATCTACTAAGCAAAGCTAAGCATGATTTTCGTATTTATAAAACTAACTTTGACTAAATTTAAACAAGAAATTATGAAGTAAACTCGAAGTTTAATTTAATTTCTCGTATAGATGTAGGCAAAGATCGTTTTGTAAATACGAAAAACTGGCTTAGCTCGCCATTTTGCTTAGTCTAATTCTAAGTTCGTTTTGTAAATGTCAGCCTTGAAGTGAAAGACTCGTATGTGATTTCCACGTAATTTTTCTGGAGGAACTTAAAAATGTGGTGTAAAATTTTATTGTTAAATTACTTTAACTTCACGTTTTTTTATTTTAAATTTTATTGTTAAACATTATTTTCTTTAACATAGTTTAAGTTACCATTTTAGTAGCAGTAGAGCATCTTGTGAAAGAGTTCGTCCAGGGAATTCTACTGCCACCTTACCTATTTCTAGTAGCAGTAGAGCTTCTTGTGAAAGAGTTCGTCCAGGTAAGTACTGTTATCTTACCTATTTCTACCGCCAAGCAGGAATGTCAGCTTTACTGTGTTTTGGTTTAGAAGGGTAAAGGGTTAAATTACAGGCACATGGGACTTGTCAACTTATGTCTCAGGGTGACGGGCGCAGTGACTGTGTCCTTCAGATCTTTGTGTGTGTGTGTCTTCAGTGATTTAAAGCTCTGAGTGATATTATACGCTATATTACTTTAATTATATATTTAAGAGGTAGAAGTTTTTTCTCGACAAAAATGAATAAAAAAGGTATGTAAAAATGCGTATGCAAAGTTTTCACTTTAAGGTGACGCACTGTTCTTTTTTGTTCGATTCAAGTCATAGAAATCGATTAAAGAATAAATCCGGAAATTATAATTGTCCGGCTTATGATTTTTAACGCTTGCGTTTAATTAAATCCAGCTTATTTTACAGTGTATTTCAAGTAAGGAACACAAGCCTTAGATATATAGCTGCCTGAGTGCTCTGATTTATTAATATCTATTAAAGGAATTTGTTTATGGTCAGTGTAATGAATATTTAAAATTTACAATGTACCTAATGTAATGTTTACACTAGTAATTGAAAGTTTTCTACTAGTTATTTATTAACTGTATTTGTTTATAGGAATATTGTCGAGTTAAATGTCTTGCCCTAAAAAAGACAGTATTTATATATAGGTGCCACGAAAACAAATAGTCTTTAAAGAAGTACCCTTTCACGTGAGTTTAGTAATGATATATTAATTTCCTTTAAAAAAAAAAACTTGCAAATAAGGAAGTGAATTGAAAAAAATAGGAATTTTCATTTACCAGTTACCTTTCTACCGCCTTGTGTAACATCATGGTATGCAATAAAATATTGAGTATTAAGGAATCGGTGCGGCAAGTCTGGTGCCACAGTATATCTATACAAAATATATGCAATCAATGGCCCTTTGAAACATTTAATTTTAAAAGAAATTTAAAAGGAAATTTTAAAATTTCTAATGTTTATTGTAAATTTTGACAGATGTAGAAACTAATTGGGGGCGTCACGATCGCCGAGGTTATGGAACAATGGCACTGCGCAAGGGCACATCGCACTTATCGCGACCTATTTCGGGCCGCATAATTACACTACATTTGGATTTTTGGTGCCGATTGCCGGAGCCGCGCTCTAATTGCCTACCCGACTGTACCGAAACGGGATCGCGGTTCCTATTTCCGTTTTATTTGCGGTTTTTATTTTTATAGTCTACTGTAAATAGAAAGTATACACGTAAATTTCGTTGTGTTTACACACTTTTAACGGTTTGAAACAGAACTGCGTGTCCATGTAGAGACACATAAAAAGTTAATATACAATGCAAAATTTGTTCTCTGACGAAAATAGACATTCCTACTTGTACTTGTTTGGTAGATTTTATATTATTTTATCTTTTTACCAAGTACCAATAACTCATCGTTAATCCATTTATAATCCACAACCGGCTGGTTAGGTTCCTTTTAGAAGAGGGAGTTGGGTCATAGTCTAATGATTAAAACACATCAATGATCTATGTATACCTATCGGCTAACATTGGTGAATTTTTACACAAAGTTTAAAAGAGGAGATTGCGACTGTATTAGCTACTAATGTTTATTAACTCCACCGGCTAGACAGCTAAAGGTTACCTAAATTTAAAATGAGCCTTCATTACTTTAGCTTCATAGATACAAATATATCAACGACAACCAATTCTCTTTGAGTAACTCTGTATTCATTACTGCTTAGCAGCGTCGTTACTTTCGTGGAGTGTAAAATAACGAGCATTGTTTAACGAACAAAAAGTTATTAACATAGGCAAGGGATTATTTTAGATTTGAAATACTGAGGGGTAATTAGCAATGATGGCACCTTACATGCGTTACTTAGTATAGTATATTCAAATGGCGTCATACTATATGAAACTTACAGTCTTTAGATGATGTTGGCTTTCGAAGCAGATTTCTGAAACAAATAAAATCTATATGAATCAAGAGTACAGGTCAAACAAAAGGGGTTTGTAAATGGCAATACTATTTATCGATCAAATTTTACGAGTTTTGACTAAATACAACTCTATTAAGATAAAAAAGGTGGATTAAGGTAAGAAAGAGACAGACAGGTGGTATAAATACATGCCCGAGACGCTTTGTTTCCTTTTTAATCTGGATAGCTATAGAGCGGAAGTTTCTGCTTACGGTTTTATTCTTCCATTAATACAACATGGGTCTTTTCAAGGCTAGAATGCATACGCACCGTCTAAGCCAGCATATTCCGTCCTCGACTACATTCGATCACTGACTATCATGTGACATTACGGTAAGGAATTTACATGAAACCAATGAAACATAAACACTGCGGAAAATGTGTATGCTGTTTCTAAACATCTCACATAAATAATAATGCCATAAATAATAATAATAACACACACACTCAACATAGCCCCGCAGTAGGGAAACCCTGTGTCGCGGGTGCCATGGACACACACACAGACAACCACAAATTACACCCAAAACTTATGAGAGAAACAAATGTAGGCCATATAAATATTTATCTCGGCCCGGGAATCGAACCTGAGACCTCTGCGCGGCTGGTCGGCATGGTAACCGTACGGCCACGGAGGCAGTTGCAAAGGCAAATATGGAGTTTCCAGCGACCAAAATTTTAAATCGTCTAAGTAACTAAAACCTTGGAAATTACAGGTGCAAAAACAAACTGTGCGGTACAAACTAGTATACGTAAAAGTGGTCAAGGATCGATATGTTCTAGATCTGGCGATGGGAACGCGGCACTGGCGGGGCAACGAGTGGGGTACGCCCCGGCCCTGCTCCAGAAACCGAAGCGGGCGCCAGGCAGACACTTTGCAATTAATCGATTACAATAATTGACTTACGTGATGACGTAGTGACAGCTGCGCAAGCGCCGCCGCTGTGTGTGCAGGTGCGTCGCTGTGACGCGCTGTTTGAGAAAATCAAAGGAAAACCCGTACCATTTGCAAAATATTGGTGTTACATGTAAACTGATGTGCTCAAAGAGACAATGTGCCAGACGGTTCATCTTGTTTTGTATGTCTTAATAGATTAAATTTTAGAAGATTAAATACATTTGACCGACCTTATCAGGGAACAGACGCGCGACAATACAAATAAATTTTGCTTTGTTGGTGCAATTTTTAATTGAATTGCTATGTTTTTTTTTTAAACTAATAAGTATGTAGTATTTTTTTTTGTCATAACGTTCTTGCCAATGTCCTGGCGCATGTACTGTTAATGTGTTGTCCTTGGTTTCGCCATCACGCCCGCGAGGTCAACTCTTTGAGTGACAAGGGTTAAGATAAGACATTTCAATTCCATCATCGTTGCAATATAAAAGACCTTAGTAAATCCTGATAATATTATGACTTTATTCATGTTTTCGAAATCAAACTCAAAGTATAAACTTTATTTCATAGGTATTATTCTTGAAATCATCATATTGCTTAATCTCTACTGCTCGTTCGTAAGGCAAATTTCTCTAAGATGAATGAGTATAGAACTGTAGCGGGTAGCTTTTTTATAAATTATTTTTGTGTAATGATTATAGATGTTAAAATTAACAAATGGTGCTGAATAATGTTTTAGCAGTCATTAAGTTTTATAAGACTATAACAACATCAGTTTTAAATAATTCTGAATTCCTTAGTACTTTACTGTTATTTAGACGGTAACAGTACAAGAAACAATACATATCTGACACTGGCACAAGTCTAGTGACCGCCATAAAGGAAATAATAAATAACAATACATATTACGAGACACATTAGTCCTTTTCCTACAAAATATCAATATTTTCAATATAAGTTCACAGACTTAAATTGTTCTTTTTCTTACGTATCGATGGTATACACTATAATGCTTGCCACGTGGAGAAAGAAAGGATTTGCCAATTTTTGTTTCAATATAGCAAATTTATTTTCTTTCAAATGTGACAGCAGTAGAGCTCCTTGTGAAAGAGTTCATCCTAGGAAGTACTGCCACTTTACCTATTACTGCCGCCAAGCAGTAACATGAACATTATTGCGTTCCAGTTTTGAAGGGTCAGGTTGTTGGTGAAATTACAGGCACGTGTAACTTGTCAATTTACGTTTCAGGGCGACGGGTGCTGTGGCAGTGCCCCTCAGATCTTTGCGATTTAAAGCTCTGAGCGGCACTGCGACTGTCATGGATAGGCGTGTCACTTACCATCAGGTACGTCTTGTTCGACCCGTCATCTGGTATTATAAAAAAGACAATAATCAAATGTCAGCTACCTAAAACCTTTTAAGATTTATATTGCATTCTCATTTTATTGTATCGATGGCATATTGTATAATATCGCGGCCCAGAACTCAGATACGCTGATCACGCCACAATTAGCCGCCATACTGAACTATGCATGGGATATGTTTACCACAGTGGTGAAACCATTTTTGCCAATCGGCGTAAGATATTCGTCGATTGTTGCCTAGGCTGCGTCAGACGTACTAGGCTACGATTCGTACGTCATTGCAGTGAATCTCCTTTCGTGCATTCCAACTACGGAACTTCCGATATAGTGTTTTTGTACCCAGACTAGAGATCCGCTTTGTTGAAATCAGATATCAGCGCCCTTAACCACGTTTTGACATCTAGACTAAAAATAATTATGGAAGCACTACTCTAATATTTCAAAAAATAGACACTTGTTGTAAAGTGACGATGAGGTCGATGATGGAGCATGCATTCCTTATAATACCTATTCTCTCTAGCTTTGAAAAGTCCTTATAGCGTTCGGGGAACAAGTCAGTGGGCTGGGACTTTCGCTCCACAGCCGTACGCAATGTAAATGAGGAAGCGTAACGTTTCGTGCGAATCCTTGGAACATCCACGACATAGGGGTGGAACCCCAGTCTACATATTGTGCCTCGGCAATAAAAGGGCATGGTGGAATCAAATCATGCAATTTCATCGTACACAGACATGCAAGCAACTTTACGACAGCATTCAAAAGGCTACATAGCTTTTCTTATGGACCAAGAGACGGCATGAACAAGTCGCGTTCCTGGTGGGAAACGACACGATGTATATAGCAGTTGCAGTGCCACTTAGAGCTTTAAATCGCAAAGATTTGAGGGGCACTGCCATTGCGCTTGTCATCCTTAGATATTTAACAAGTCTCATGTGCCTGTAATTTCACCAGCACTCTTACACTTCAATACCGGAACGTACTCACATTACTGCTTGGCGGCAGAAATACGTAAGGTGGCAGTATTACCCTGGATGAACTCTTTCACAAGGAGCTCTTCTGCTGCTGCAGCTTCGCCTTTACTAAGTCCGAGTCATGGATAAACCTTCTTGGCGCGTTTTGAATGGTATCAAAGGTGGCTAGTTGGCATTTAGCATATCCATTCTATAGATGGCAGCAGTACTTCATACATACATCGGGTTTGTGCTTGGTACAGTTGTAGCAACCGGTGTGGAGTTACACTTTACCTTGGATAATATGGATGGATCTATTTTTTAATCTTTAGTTTAACTATACCGATCCACAATTATATTGAAAATTGTTAATAATTACTTGAAAAGGTTCACGAGAACATGGTGGCATTTAGCGGTCAGGGGTTGGATGCGTAGGTTGTATTTTGATCAGGACGCTTGTGTGAAACCTCAAATTAAGTCCAGTTGAGAATTATTGCGCGTTTGTGATGGATTTTCCATTAGACTTTCATAGAGAGTATACTAAATAATGCCGACCTGATAATGACATTATACGGATTTTGCTATAGGGAAATATAAGTAACATTAATAGAATCTTCGTCCCGCCGAGGCATGTTGTTAGTGCAATCTAGGCATCGAGTGTCTGTGAGAGATTTGAAAGAAATTAACTTTCTTATGTCCACTTGCACTAAACTTAAGGACATCTTAAATCAATGCTTGCAATGCAAAAGACACTCTTAATACATTGTGTTAAGTATCCTATCAATTTAAGCATTGGTTTAAGACGTACGTAAGTTTAGTGTGTGTGGGCATTATGTTGGTGTCACAGTAGATTCATTAATGAAAATGGAATTTAGGTTAAGATGTCATACAGTAACTCAAAAGTGTAGTTCCTTGTAGCCTACGTGCTATATTTGTGTTGTCTAGAAGCCGTACAGCCTCTATGTTATTTTTTTATCTACTAAAGTACTTAAGTACATCCTGTCCTTTTGTTTTATGCCTATCTTTCTTACGTCTGCTCTAACGGTGGAAGGGTGGGAGGGAGCCTGGTACTCTATAACACAGGTTAATCCTAATGTGAACACCAGACTTTCAGAAACGAAACTATCTTTAGTGACATGTGAAGGGTGATTCTTTAGAATACGGGGTTCTTCAGTTTAGGCAATGTATATAAAACTTAATATTTTTTTAACTATTATGCACATTTCCTAGATATTCTATAGAATGCCGGACGTAGATTAGGCAAAAAATCAAATTAGTAATTTCTGTTTGCGGTTCCGAGCTGGTTTGACTTGACCCCCAAATGTGGGAATAGGTTAGGTTAGTATATGAAAAAGCTGCCAGAACCGAATTGGTTTGCGTTTCCGAGCTGGGTCGAAAATTACTATGGAAAATGCTACATTATTCAAGCTATACTTGAAACAAACATAGAAAAAGTAATGTTCCTAAAAGTTTAATGAGTGCTTGCTTCCAATAAAAGAGTTTAAATTTTTATGGTAAGTTAAAGAATTATTGGATTTACTGTCACATATCAAATAATCATTTAATATAACAGTTTTGCTTAATACATTGAAGAGTATGTTAAGTTTCATTTGTATAATATGCATATTTCGTGTATCAGTTTTTGTTGCTACTACAAATAATAATAATAATAATAATAATATAACGCACACACTCAACACATAATCATATATAAATAATATAATCGCGATTATCTCAAACAAATATCACTTGTAACTTAAATACCAATTC